CCACAGCTCACTTATTCGCTGTTCATTATTTTCCTTTTTTCTCACTGTGTTGACTTTGAGTTGTTTCCATTGCTATGTCATCAAGTTCACCAAAATTTTATTCTACAGTGTTTAATTTGCCGTTATTCCTGTCTAGCATATGGTAGTTTTTATGTTTAAAACTTCACCTTGGGTCTTTTATATATTTTTCATGTTTCTATTTATCATGCTTAGGGGCTGGGGATTTAGCTCAGTGGCACAGCGCCTGCCTGGCAAGTGCAAGCTTGTGAGTTCGATTCCCGGTACTGGAAAAGAACAAAACAAAAAAAATATTTATCATGCTTAGTGTTTCCTCAGCTGTTTGAACACATGGAATATAGGAATAACTGTTTTAATGGTCACGTCTTCTAAATTTTTTATCTTTGTCATTCACAGATCTGTTTCTATTTATATTTCTATTTATTAATCTGTTTCTAAAATATAAGTATTTATAGGTCATATTTTCTCTTTCTTTGCATACCTGGTAATTTTTTATTGAATTTGAAATACATAAATTTTACCTTGTGGGTTTTGGGTATTTTTGTATTCCTGTAAACTCTCTTGAACTTGTTTTCTTTCTGAGACACAGTTTGATTCTAAGTATTGCTTTTAATCTTTGCTTATAGGACCATAGCAGCATTTTATCTAGGACTAATATTTTCCACTGCTAACTAGGAGCATTTTATCTAGGACTACTAGCAGCATTTTATCTAGGACTAGCATTTTATCTAGGACTACTAGCAGCATTTTATCTAGGACTAATATTTCCTACTGCAAATCCCTAGTGGGACAGAATTATGAGATTTCCAACCTGATTGGTTAAAAATTGCTTTATCTTCCTACTTATGTATTTATTGCACTTGAAGTTGAACCCAAGGCCTTTGCACTGAGCTACATCCCTGATTTTTTTTTTGAGGCAGGGTCTTGCTAAGTTGTTCTATAGCCCAGACTGTGCTTGAACTCATGACCTTCCTATTTTAGCTTCCCAGAGTGCTGGGATTACACATCTGTACCACCAGGCCTGGCTCTGTACTTTCCCATGATTCTTTTCCTGGCTTCAGGTAATGCCTGATACTGTACTCATGTGTGATGAATGTTCAGTTGAGGACTCTGGGAATGCCCTCAACTGAGCTCTGGGGTTTCTCACTGAGAGCTCCTTTCTTGGGTCCTCTACCTTGTGATTTCAGGATACCCTTTCCTCCCTGGACTCCCATGCATCTTTGTCTGGGTTCCCTGTCCTGGTGTAGCACCCACCAACTTGCAGCAGGCACTAAACTGGAGGTAGTTGTGGTGCTTACTGCATTGATTCCCTGTTCTGAATAACTCTAACAACTCCTTTGTCACTGGGGTCCAATGTTTCCGCAAAGCTACACACGCTAGGATCAGGGAGGACTTAGTCTGTCCACCACAGTGGAGCCAAGGATGATGTGATGGAGAATACGGCATTTGCACGATAGAGTGTATCATACTAGAAAAGAAGGTAGAGGAAAAACCGCAAGCTCATGCTGGTTCTTCTGCCTTGAAGCCTTTCTAGCCCCTCTCCTTGCTGGCACCTTGTTTTTAAACATAAATTGTTGCTGCTTAAATAGTCTAAAGATACTCTTTTCTTTTAACCTATAATAAAATATCTTGAAATGTCAAATCAAATTGAGTCTGTTAAATCATATAATTATTTTATGTTAATTTATAGGGAAATGCTTTTTCATTATTTGTCCTAATTGTTTTTCTTAATCTAAACCACTTTGTATATGTATAAAATCCTCTTTGTTTTGACTCTTGACTTTTTAAGGAAAAGATCTACATATCCATGTGCATCTGTAATGTATTTATGTGCTTCTCAATACTTTAAAAGTACTCTTCGCATATATTTTACCTGTATTATTATAGTTATTCACTGTGGAGAATTTAGAGGTTCTTATGCCATTCTCTACAAAATGAATGTCCTTTAATTTCCAGTACTCTATCTTATAAGTGTTCATTTAGGTCTGTTCAGAGGTCATTAAAAAGTAACAGGGAAGAACTGCAGAATTTTTGAACAGTATTTAGAAAATAATGACAAATGTTGATATAAGTATGTTATAAAATCCTATGTCTAAGAAATATGTTAAACAACTAATACTAAAATTTCTGGTAGCTAAATAACATTTCAGAAGATGGATCTAGTGCATTGATAATTAGCATAATATTTGAATTGCAGAAAACTCTTCAATTTAATGAGTACAATCCTTTTTCACTTAAGTGTCGTATAAAAACCTAACGGTTTTCAAGCTAAACGATTTCTGCTTAGAATTCTGTTTAGAAAATACTTCTCAGCAAAAAATTGTGCATTGTGTATATTTACAAAGGATGAGTTTTTAGATGTTAACCCTTTAGAAAATTAAATCTATAAGATATAAAGCAGTATTATTCTGTTTTTAACTTTGCTGATGAATGGCAGTCTTTTCATCAGAATATTACAAGTGGGCCTTAACATCTCTTATTGTCATTAACATCCTCAAAGATGTGTGCTTGTTTAGCCACCTCACAGAACTGGACGTGTCCTTTTAAAAAGATAGGTGTTGTTCTACAAGACCTGAGGTTATCTTGACATAGATAAACTTTCATTAGCATAATAGCTTCGTTGTTATGGAAGTTAACAATTAATTGTTTTAGAAGTTATAGTGTTCTTTGATGTTTACTAATATGTATTTTTTCTAATAAATTTTAAACGAGCTTAATGAGGTACAATTGACATATAATAAGTGGCCCTTTTTAATTTAATTTAATTTTATTTTTTGGTCTTTTTGAGACAGGATCTCCCTATGCAGTTCAGGCTGGCCTTGAGCTTACTTTGTAGCCCAGGCTGGTCTCAAAACTTGCAGTGATCCTCCTGCCTCAGCCTCCCGAGTGCTGGGATTCACGTGTCACATATTTAAGTGATATAATTTTAAAAATATTGACATAAACTAGGTGTGGTTGTGGACACTTGTCATCCCAGCTGCTTGGGAGGCTGAGGTGAGAGTCTTGCAAGTCTCAGGCCGGCCTGGGCAATTTAGTGAGATCCTGTCCCAAAACAAAAAAGAGGGGCTGGGGATGGATCTCGGTGGTAGAGAACTTGCTTAGCACCCGTGAGGCCCTGGGTTCAGTCCCCAGTACCAAAAATTCATGAATACCCGCGCGCGCGCGCACACACACACGCACACACACCCTTGAAACCATCACAATAATCAGATAGTGAACATTTCCATCTCCGAAATTTCCTTCTGCACTTTTCTCACTTCTCACTGCCAAAAGTACACTCTCTTCCCCAGGCCACCATTAATTTTCTTTCTGTCACTTCAGATTAGCTTGATTTTTCTAGAGTGTTATAAAGGGGACCACATAGGGATGTTACTTTTGTGGGGGGGGGTCTGGTTTTTTTGCTCTGTGTAATTATTTTGAGATTCTTCTTTTTGTTGTTTGCGTAGTGTATCCTTTTTCACTGCTGAGTAGTGTTTCTGTGCACAGATATGCCGTAATTTATTTACCTCTTAACCTAATGGGAGGCATTTGGGTTGCTTCCAGTTTTAGATGTTACGAAGAAAGCTGAAGTGCTGAGTTATAAGTAAAGCTGTTATAAAAATGGAATGTGTTCGAAATTGTTTTATTTTAAATTTTTACCACATCTTGGCAATCATGCCCATCAACATTTATCAGACATATTTTTGTACACCTTTCTCAGTAGCTTGTGATAATTATGGAAAACTATGAAAATATTTTACTTTAAACCCATTTCCTGCCTTTTGTCCATTTTACTTGTTAAAGGTATTAACTATAGGAAGGGAAAAAATTTCATTTTGAATTTTGGAACCCTAACAACTTGGCCAGCATTATCTTACCTTTTATGACATCCCTCAATAAAAATTTTAAGTGTAATAGAATTGAAGCCCTAGTCCTTCATTAACCAAAGAGTTTATGCAAATGCTTTCTTCACTATAATGATGTTATCATGACTATTTTTCTAAAGAGAATAAATGTTTCCTAATGACCATATTTTATTTCCATAAGTAAATGTGGCAGTTGAAATCTATCACACTTACGAAATTTTCTGTAAAGAAGGAAATATAGAAAAGATCCCATCATGCCATACTAAAAAAAGATGAGGCACAATTGAATTTATATTTTTATTATTGAGAAAATTTTACTGTTCCAGTTCTATAAGTTTTTGAAAATCTAATAACCTATAGAGTACCTAAACAAAGAAATATTTCTTATGCAATGTTATTTCAAATTTCTAAACATTTTTCCCTAGAAGAAAAGTAACCAGAGTGTAACATTTGCTCTTTTGTACTTGCTGATTCTTCCCAATAAGTATATTTGTGTGTATATGCATGCATTATTATGCATGTGCGTGACATTACATATATTAAAGCACTTTGCTAAGTCAGTAATGCCTCCTGTTTATGATATGATTTTAGTATACTTACAGTCTGTTAAGAATAGTTATAATTTTAGGCAGTAGTTATAAATTTAGGCAATTTAAAGTGGCATTTCTCTACATTAATGTTGTATAAATAACTTGATCCAAATACAGGAGCCATTTTACTGTACTGCATGTTTTCTAAGAGACTAAGCATATTGTACCATTTTACTTCTTTCCTGAAAACTTACAGACTGAATAAAGAAGCATATGATTCTTCTCCCAGTAGAATCCCGTATATTCAAGTACTAGGTTCTTTTAAATATATCATCTTCTTATATTGGTTTATTGATTTACATTTTGGGAGAGATAGCTTGCAAATTTTTTCACTGCATCTTATGATTGTATAAAGTTAATTTGAACTATAACTCTTCATTTTTTCTTGTTAAAATTATAATGACCTTTGCATAGTATTTGAATTGAAATCAAATTTTTTTTTCTCTTGCTCTTTTTTTAATCAGTAGGAAGCTTTATTTTCTAGGCTAAGAGAAAAAATACTATCATGATTTAAGCTCAATAAAAAGCTAATAAACTTTTTTTTCAGACCTCTATAAAAATGGACTCCAAAGGGCTAACTTTGTACCATTCATCGCTGTCCTGAAGGTAAGCACAGTTGTGTTTAGTTGTTGTGACATACTGACAAGTAATCATTGGTTTTGGTAAGTCCTGTGTTCAAGCAGAATTCCTCTTGATATTTAGATGGTAATATTCAAAGACACTAAAGGAGAAAAGAATCTTTTCATGCCGCATTCATCGATGTGTACATGGGAAAATTACCAAATACAGTACACTCTAAATTATTCTCTAACTGAAACATTCAATAGTTTTCATTTTGTAAATTTTAATTTGAGGTTTGCTCATAATTATTATAGTGGGATGTTTAAACTTATATATTTATTTCTGAAAAAAATGTTTAATGTTCCCTGTTTCCTTCAGCCTAATGGCCATTATTAATATGTTTTCCCAGCTATTAAAGTTGCTATTCTAGAATAGCATTATTATAAAAATATTCTAATGTATTTAAATGTGATTGCCATCAAGTTATCATGAAATTATGTCAAGTTGAGGCACATAAATAGTTTAAATATTTGTGTGTATCATCACTGCATAGAGTTTAAAATAGTCTTCATTACAATATGATTAGGAATAAATAACCTCCTTTTTCACTGTTAATTTTTCTTTCTTTCTTTTTTTTGTTTTTATTTTTTGAGAGAGTCTTCCTATATAGTTCAGGCTGGCCTGGAACTCACTGTGCAGCCTAGGATGGCCGTGAGCTTGCAGTTATTCTCCTGCCTCAGCCTCCCAAATGCTAGGATTACAGACATGTACAACTACGCCTGGCTTTTTGCTGTTAATTTTAAATAATTTTTACATGATTATTCAATAATTCGATAACCTACCAATATTTATTGAACACCTACCATATTTAAAGTATCAGTTTAGGCATACTGGATAATATAATTATAAAGTAGACTATATCTTGCATGTAGGTCATTTATAATCTAGTCAAGGTTCTAGAATGCACATAAATACAACAGAAAGCAGAATGTAGAGTACCACAGAGGAGCACAATTCTGTGCCAAAAACATAATTTTCATAATTTTAGGTATATAATTTTTCCCAGTCCATGTCAACATCTCTGGAAAAAAAAAAAAGATAAAGTTGGATTTAACAAAAACAAAACTTTTTACTGAGTTAAAACATTTTGCCAGAGATATAATCAGACGCAGTCAGACAATCTTTTTGATATATCCTTCATTTGGAATTATTATTGGTGTCAAACTTTATTCCCTGTGCTATACTTAGAAGAATTTAAACATCTGTTTCCTTGACCAGTTTTTGCTTCCTAAGGATATTAATTTATCTGAGATATTTATAGATGTAGGAAAAGTACTTTTGGATGTTTTTGCTGTTAGTAATTTTTTCTCTTTATATTCATTTTTTTTTTTTATATAGGGAGAAGGTAGATTTGTGGTATTTTTTTCCTGCTAGGAATATAAAGTAATATGGTGTATAAAGATATAAAAATAGACACAAGACAACGAAGATAGGGGCTAAAAATAGTATCTTCGGTAGCATGAAATATGTAGAATATAGAAAGAGAAGAGCCACAGAATGAAACAACTTAAGAGGTTCTCAGGGAACTCTAAGCTGTACTGTGTTTTTGGCCTTAAATCTTTTTAAGGACAATAATGTGTCGTACTTTAATATATAATAGCACTATTAATAGGTAACTAAATTTGCCAGATTGAATTTAATTTTTGTTTCCTTTTCCATTCTTAATTTTTTGTGTGTGTGAAGAGGAAGGAAAATCAAACATGAGTACAGTAATCCACAATTTGAAAGCGAAGATGAATCAAGATGAATAATATATTATTTGTAATTGAATATGAACTGAAAGTCTTGGGAGTTGAAATGTCTGATTGAATGAGAATAGATCTAAAATGTCTCTCCCTATGCAGAAATATGAATATAAAAGGGAAAATTGCTAACAGCATATATCTTCCAAAAGTACTTCCAAAAGTTTTCTCACATAGAACAAAACATCAGACTGATGAAAGAAACAATAGATTGGTTTCTCTGGATCTTTTCTGTATGACCACATGAAATTTCCTTTATAAAGAAAGTTGGTTTTGTATTAACTTCCTTAACATTTTGCCTGTTCAGATTGAGTGTCACATCTGCATTTTGGTTCAGCTGAGAGAAATGTGTAGTAGAAGTCAATCTTAAATAGAGACTCTTAGTTCAATAAAAAGTGGTTATAAACAAGCTTGAAATTTATTGGAGAAAAAGTATATTGTAAAATTCACTTTTATATTCTTCTCTATAAGTCAAAATGATAACACGTGTGTAATTTACCACAAAACCTTACGATTTATTGCTTGGAGTATCGAAAAATAATAAGAGCTGTATAAATTCTTAGTAAAAATGATATTTTATTAAGATGGTAGGAATGAGGAGGAGGACTAATACATTATTAAAGGTCATAACGCCATCAATAGATAAATAAATAATATGTGGCGTAGGCATACAATGCTACATCATTCTTCCATAAAAGGAGTGAATTTCTGATACATGGTACATGAATGGACCTTGAAAGCATGCTAGGTGAAATAAGACGGCCAAGAAAGGACAAATATTTTATGATCTATTTATGTGAGGTAGACAGAAAAGTCAAATTTATAGAGAAAGTAGAATAGAGGCTCTCAGGGTCCTGAAAGGAGGAGGAATGGGTGATTATTGTTTAATGGGTACGTGGTTTCGGTTTAGGATGATGAAAAAGTTACAGAAACAGTGGTTGACAGTTGTACAACATCATGAAGGTACTTAATGCCAGTGAGTTGTATACTTGCAAGTGGCTAAGACAGTAAATTTTATGATATATATGTTTTCCTGAAATAATAATCCTAACTTAAAGAAATAAAATTCAAAGTTTCATGACAAATTATGAAAATGTCCCCCAAGTTTCTATTGAAAATCACTCATACCAGAAACCAAACTGGATGTGAAATGATAGTCAACTGATGACAGAGATGTCAGAATTATCTGATGAACATATTAAAGTTGTCTTGATAAAAATGTTTCAATAGGCAGTTAAGAATATCTTTAAAACAAAGAGCCACTACTCCATAATGATTTTTAGAAGTTCCATTCAAGTGGTATTTAATCATTTTAAATCTGCATGTAACTTACAGCCTTCAAACATGTGAGGCAGATGGCAGAATCACAAGAGAAACAAAATCACAAATACGACGGGAGATGCTTTCCATAAACCTTAGTAATCAGTGGGGTAAATCTGTAACAATAAAGACTTGAACAACATAATCAACTTGAGTAAAGGAAGGAGTGGATGAGAGGAAAGAAATACAGGTTAAAGAAATCACATTTTCTACTTAGAAAAATGCAGTGTCTTCAAGATTCATTCATTCATGTAGCTTGTGTCAGAATTTCATTCCTTTTAACTAGGGTGACAGTTGTCCATTGTGTGTATGTATCACATTTTGCTTATCCATTTATTACCGGCCATTTGGGATATCTCTACCTTTTTGCTATTGTGAACAAAGATACTATAAATATTTGGGTAGAAATATTTGTTTGGGCCCCTGCTTTCAGTTCTTTTTTTTTTCTTTTCTGGTACCGGGAACCAAACTCATGACCTTGCACTTGCCAGGCAGGCGCTGTGCCGCTGAGCTAAATCCCCAGCCCCCAATTCTTTTGTATATAACTCAGAAGTAGAGTTGTAGGAGCTTATGGTAATTGTATGTTTGAATTTTTTTGAGGAACTATGCTAGTGTTTCCTGTAGTGGCTGCACCATTTTATATTCCCACATGCAATATAATCTCCATGTCTTTGCCCACAGTTGTTCCTTTCTTTTCTTTTCTTTTTTTGTTTTTGTTTTTTGTTTTTGCAGTCCTGGGGATTAAACCCAGGGCTTTGTTATGTTAGATAAACCTGTGCCACTGAGCTACTATTTTCTTTTTTATAACAGTCATCCTAATGAATGTGAAATGGTATCTCATTATGGTTCTGATTTACATTTCCCAAATCATTAGTAATGCTGAGTATCTTTTCTGGGAAACAGTAGACTTTATCAATGGTACATGACAAGTTAGGTTTCCTGAACCCTTCCCCTTCTTCCTGGGGTCCTGATGGGAACTGTGTCAAGGAGAGAAGATTCTCAGTGTACTGGGGGACTGAGTTGTGATAGCGACTGCCAGCACCGGAGGTCCTCTCTCTCTTTCATGCTCTGACTGGGGCTGCTGGTCCAGAGAGCTATCACTCCTTGAGGGCCCTGTGGACCATGTGGTCTACCACTTTGTTGCTGTGGCCGGATTTATTGCATTACCAGAAAATGCGCTTGACAAAGTGGTTGTTGAGGGCAATGCCAGTCTCAGTGTGATAGGTGGGAGAGTAGGTGTCACTGTTAGAGTTGAAGGAGACCACCTGGTTCTCAGCATAGCCCGGGAAGCTCTTTAGGGGTTTTCCAATGTCTGTTTTATTACTGTTTGTTTTTGAGACAGGGTCACTCTCTCTGTAGCCTAGGCTGGCCTTTAATTCACAGCAATCCTCCTGCCTCAACCTCCCTAGTGCTGGGATTACAGGCATGCACTACCATGCCTGACTTATTACTTTTTGATGTCATCATACTTAGCAGCTTTTTCCAGATGGCAGGTCAGATCCACAGCTAACAAGTCAAAGGGGGCACGTGGACGACCACGCCAGTGAGCTTCCCACTTGGCTCAGGATTGAGCTTGTCCACAGCCTTGCCAGTGCCGGTAGACACAGAAGTGACGATGTGGGCGGTCCCACAGCCGTCATGCAACAGTTCCCAGAGGGGCCGCTCAGGGTTTTCTGGGTGGCAGTGATGTCCTAGAGTGTGGTCACGAGCTGCTGCATGATGCCAGGGTTGTCCTGGATGATTTGGGCTGGGGTGGGGTGCTGCATGGTTGGTGGCGCAGGAGGCACTGCTGCTAGTCTTGAGTGAGTTGTACTTCTCATAGTTCACACCCATCATAAACATGGGAGTGTCAGTAGAAGGGGCAAAGATGATGGTCTTTTCACTCCAGCCATCACAAAGGCAGTGAAGGTACCAGTGGACTCC